GGGGGGAGGGGAAATTGGTTTTGTATATATCTTATATTTTGTGTTTGTCGTTCTGACTCTGACAGGCGAATGATGGTCAGTTCACGCCAATCCAACTGGTCGGGATGTTGCGCGGGATCGCTTCTGGCATGCGGTACCTAGCGGAGATGAACTTCGTTCACCGGGACCTGGCGGCACGGAACATTCTAGTGAACAGCAACCTGGTGTGCAAAGTGTCTGATTTCGGCTTGTCCCGGTTCCTGCAGGAAGGATCTACCGACCCGACGTATACGTCCTGCCTGGTAGGGAGCAGCCTGGGAGGGTTTGGGGATTTGGTTTTTTTGAGTTCCCGGGTCTGTACTCCCGCTGTGCCCATTATGAGGGGCTCCCACCATCCCTGTGCTGAGTTCCCGGGTCTGTACACCCGCTGTGCCCATTATGAGGGGCCCCCACCATCCCTGTGCTGAGTTCCCGGGTCTGTACCCCCGCTGTGCCCATTATGAGGGGCTCCCACCATCCCTGTGCTGAGTTCCCGGGTCTGTACCCCCGCTGTGCACATTATGAGGGGCTCCCACCATCCCTGTGCTGAGTTCCCGGGTCTGTACCCCCGCTGTGCCCATTATGAGGGGCTCCCACCATCCCTGTGCTGGGTTCCCTAAGGGTCCCAGGACTGCTGGGTTCGGGTCCATTGAGTAATCTGCGTCTGTCTCTCCTCAGGGTGGGAAGATCCCGATCCGCTGGACAGCACCAGAAGCCATCGCCTTCCGCAAGTTCACCTCGGCCAGCGACGTCTGGGGCTACGGCATCGTCATGTGGGAGGTCATGTCCTTCGGGGAGCGGCCGTACTGGGACATGTCCAACCAAGACGTGAGTTCTCTTCTGCTGCTCGTAGGGTGACCACGCCCTCCCGCGCTCCTCCACACCAATCACACCCGCCCGTCTCTCTTTCCGCCCTCCTAGGTAATCAACGCCATAGAGCAGGACTACCGGCTCCCCGCACCCCCCGACTGCCCGTCCGCGCTGCATCAGCTCATGCTGGACTGCTGGCAACGCGACAGGCCCGCCCGCGCTTCGCGGAAATCGTCAGCGCCCTCGTCAAACTCATCCGGAACCCCGCGAGCCTGAAGATCACCGCCAGGGAACAGCCGGGGTAAGTGGCTTCTTCATTTCTGGAGGGTTGACCGTCAAAAAAAGGGGGCGAGCCATGAAAAATCGCTGTGGCCCCTTCCCGGGCCCCCGCGTTCTGGGTTTAGAAACGTTACAATGTCACCATCCATCTGAGAAGAGACTGAAGGAACCCAATCAGAACCGCGGTATAACAGAAGGTGATCACGTGTCCCATTCCATCACACATCCCCACAAATTCGAGGATTATTCCTCATTTCAGGACAGTGGGCGGAGCTATGCAAATCACCTCTCTACCCCATTTGGCTACACGCTCACCCAGAACCCCCCGGTACAATATATAAACGTTTCAATAATAATGAAATGATATTTATTAGACTCCCTCTAGGGCTCTGTTGGGTCTCGCATGGGGGGAGGGGGCAGTGAGGGGGTTTCCCCCCCCCCGCAGCGGAGGAAGTGAGACTGATTGCAGGGAGCAATGCTCTGCAGGTCTGAGGTCGGAGTTCAGAGGTTAGAATGTAGCCGGAGAGAGAGAGGAAGCGGCCATTGATAGGACGGGGGCGTAGCGGGGGAGAGAGATAATGGGATTATTGTGCACTCGGCTTCCTGATTAGCAGACTCCGGGCGCACGGACTAAAGATACAATGTGTGAAGCTCGGCCACGGGCAGTAAGATTTCGATTCTGTTCGGTTCGCCGACCGATTTCCGCCTATTTCGCCCACCGCGCCCTTTTTCCCGCCCCTACACTTGGAGATGGCCCGCCCCTACACTTGGAGATGGCCCGCCCCTACACTTGGAGATGGCCCGCCCCTACACTTGGAGATGGGCCGAGGACCAGGTGCTGGAACAATGAAGGCTGAGTGCTCATGGGTAACGTAGTCTACAAGGACACCCTTCTATGACGTGAACATGCCCTTGTAGACAAGTTCTCATGAGCACTCATTGGGCTGGCTTTCTATAAAAGTGACTCCTCCCACACAGAGTGTTACTCCTCCCAACGAGGGCCCTGTGATGAGGTCACAGGCTCTAAAATTTCAGTTTTTTGGCCAATTGTTTAATTTTGTTGACATTTGAGTGTTCATACCTCAGTATATGGAACAAGAGGACAGCAGAGGAGATTCATTGTTCTGCAGACAGGACAATAGGGGGCGGTAGAGAGGAGCCGGATGGGTAAAGTAGGGACTGGTTTGGGGAGCATTGGTTGGCTGGGGTCAGTGAATGGTCATGCATGGAGCATGTTGAGCATACCTCTTGTTTCTCTTCCAGGGACCTCCTACGGATGGGCATCACCCTGGCCGGCCATCAGAAGAAAATCCTATCCAGTCTACAACAGATCATTCCGCCGGAGAAACTTCCGCCACTTTCCGCGCCGTGTTACTAACTGTTTTCATAAGACTGTTGGACTGCAATCCATTCCCTCCAGGGACTGCCGGGACCGTTATCCAGTGCCTATAAAGGACAGTTGGACCGTTATCCAGTGCCTTGAAATTACAGTTGGACTCTTACGCAGTGCCTCCATGGACAGTTGGACTGCAACACAGTGCCTTCAATGAACAGTTATCCAGAGCCTTAAAAGGACTATTGGACTGTTACGCGGTTGCCGCCAAAGTACAGTAGGGACAGTTGTCCATTGCCTTCAAAGGATTGTTGGCCTGCAATGTGTCTTCTCCAAAGGCTTCTGGATTACAACTCTTGTTCTTCAGGTGACTATTAGAACTTCTACCCAGTGCCTACCGCCCGTATACTGCAAGCTGGTGCCGAGGACTACCCAAGAGACCGCAATGAAGGCCTCCACCTTCTAGAACCACAAGTGGCCACTAAAGGCAACAAATGCTCATTGGACCATAGAACCGGCCAGTAATTATAATACCTCCTTGGCCAACTTTTTGGATGCAGAGTGGAACCTCTTCTGAAACCCTGACCCTGGGCCCACAGGTAACCATTCCGCTGCAACTTTTGGCCTACAAGAACCGTTACAGCATTTCTGTTGGCCTACAGAGGCCCCGTGACTGTTACTGCTGGTCTACAGCTGACCAAATAGTTGACCATTTTTGGCCTTCAAGAAACCGTTGGAGCATTACCATTGGCCTACAGCTGACCAAATGATGGACCGTCTTTGGCCTACAGAGGCTCCTGGACTGTTACCGTTGGCCTACAGCTGACCAAATGATGGACTGTCTCTGGCCTACAAGAAACCGTAGAGCCTTTCCATTGACCTTTCCATTGACCTACAGCTGACCAGATGATGGACCGTCTCTGGCCTACAGAGGCCCGGGACTGTTGCCATTGGCCTACAGCTGACCAAATGATGGACCATCTCTGGCCTACAGAAGCCCCGGGACTGTTACCGTTGGCCTACAGCTGACCAAATGATGGACCATCTCTGGCCTACAGAGGCCCCGGGACTGTTACCGTTGGCCTACAGCTGACCAAATGATGGACCATCTCTGGCCTACAGAGGCCCCCGGACTGTTACCGTTGGCCTACAGCTGACCAAATGATGGACCATCTCTGGCCTACAGAGGCCCCCGGGACTGTTACTATTGGCCTACAGCTGACCAAATGATGGACCATCTCTGGCCTACAGAGGCCCCGGGACTGTTACCATTGGCCTACAGCTGACCAAATGATGGACCATCTCTGGCCTACAGAGGCCCCGGGACTGTTACCGTTGGCCTACAGCTGACCAAATGATGGACCATCTCTGGCCTACAGAGGCCCCGGGACTGTTACCGTTGGCCTACAGCTGACCAGATGATGGACCATCTCTGGCCTACAGAGGCCCCCGGGACTGTTACTATTGGCCTACAGCTGACCAAATGATGGACCATCTCTGGCCTACAGAGGCCCCGGGACTGTTACCGTTGGCCTACAGCTGACCAGATGATGGACCATTTCTGGCCTACAGAGGCCCCGGGACTGTTACCGTTCGCCTACAGCTGACCAAAGACGTTGGTCTTGGACCTTGACTTGGAGCGTCAGAAGGAAGTCCAGATAAAACCTTTTGGTGCCCAGTGATGTCATCCCCGGTGTCGCTGATGCAATATAAAGTGTGCGGCCATTATGTACAGCGCTATATACACGGTGAACAGGGAACAGAACTTCCGTACGTGCGTTTTGTGCCGCGTACGCCGACCGTCTCTCCCCCCCCCGAGCGTGTCTGGGAAGGTACACGCCATTTTCATATATAGCACTGTGAAGATCGCGGTGACCTCCGATTGTACAGGACGTGTATATATTATATATATCTGCATTGTGAGATTCCATCCTCTTCCTTCCTTTTTATATTAAATTATTTGATAATAAAATTCATGTGAAGCTCCATTATTTCCGGGGAGACTCCGCCCACAGCGTCTATGACAAAGGACCTCATATATGCGAGGTGGCCTGGTACAGATACTCCTAAAGGCCACACACACACACTACTAGAGGGAAGTCTCACCATTGTGGGAGGGGCAGAGACACATAGTACTGGAGGATATCTCACCATTGTGGGAGGGGCAGAGACACAAACTGCTGGAGGGAAATATCACCATTGTGGGAGGGGCAGAGACACATAGTACTGGGAGGAAATCTCACCATTTGTGGGAGGGGCAGAGATACAAACTACTGGGGGAAATCTCACCATTGTGGGAGGGGCAGAGACAAACCACTGGAGGGAAATATCACCATTGTGGGAGGGGCAGAGACACATAGTACTGGGAGGAAATCTCACCATTTGTGGGAGGGGCAGAGATACAAACTACTGGAGGAAATCTCACCATTGTGGGAGGGGCAGAGACACAAACTACTGGAGGGAAATCTCACCATTGTGGGAGGGGCAGAGACACATAGTACTGGAGGGAAATATCACCATTGTGGGAGGGGCAGACACACAAACTACTGGGGGGGAAATCTCGCAGTCTGCGCTCTACAATGGGGGAGATCGCAGCACGCTATAAGCTCACGAAGGCTGGTCAGCATTTCGATCTCTGACGCTCTCACATCCGTGCGTTGTGCTTTCCGCTCGCCTCTTGTGCGATTTTGTAGTATTACGGTCAGCGGCATCACGCGGTGGACGCAGTAATGTCCATATTTCCACCAAACAGACTCGAGACAGGAAATGACAGAACATACAGAAAACGCATCTCGTGTCGTGTCACATCGTCACGCATTACGCTCTTTGAGGAAAGCGATGAGCGTTCTATGACACAGCGCTGTGATTGGCCCTGGTGACCAGGTTGTTGTGTCTTCCCCCTCCCCCCCCCCGGCCCTTCGGTTGTCCAGCTCTGGTCAGGAAATAGATTAATCTCCGTACAATGCTG